TTTCCAAATAAATAAATACTCAAAATAAAACATATACGCAGAATCAATTTATGTTCTTACTTAAAAATATATATAATAAATGTTGTTATGTAATATAGTAATTTATTTATTTAATTCAAATAGTTAGGAAGAATTAGATGTACAATTGTAAACAGTGTGATTTGGCTCTACCTACTATTAATGCGTACATTAATCACTGTCGTTTACCTTCTATGGAACCAAGATTCAGGGTTGCATGCTGTGTTTCTGGATGTTTTCAAAGCTTTTCTACTTTTTGGAATTTAAAAAAACATATCTACCGCAATCATGGTCAAAATAAGTTTAATGCAAGATTAACTTCTTTAAATAATAAAGTTATTTCATTGTCTTGCCAAGTTCCTATGTGTGGTGCAAAATGCAAGGATCAGACTGCATTGTTTATTTATTTAAAATACCATATTAGGGATGGTACAGCAATTCAATGCCCAATATGACAAGCATATTGGGTAGCTGCAAGATCATCACAATTTGCCCTCTTCGTTGTGGAATGTTTATGAAATAGAAAGGCTACATTCTTTAACTTATCTTTCACAGCGTGCTGATATAGTCGGATTAAATGCACTGAAAATAGTATCGTTAGTGGCTAAATGGCCATTTTTATTTAAAGCCAATTGGTTTTTACATCATTTTAAAACATTAACTGGAGTTGACATAGCTTTTATATTTGAAGAAAATCTTAAAATTAAATCTACCATAATTGTCAAATTTTTGCAACACCAAAAAGAAATGCAATTAGCCATAAATGAAATGATATTAGCTGGGCAAGGTAAAGTGTTAGCACCACTTGTTGCTGCAATTTTGGGCATTTGCCAGTTTTTTAAAGAATCTTCCAAGTTTTTGTTTCATCAGACTATGGTAAATATTTTTTCCATTGATTTTTTAAATTTTATCTTCCTTGATTGAAAAAGTTAATACAGTTTAATATATTTTGTGCATATTTTATCAGTAATATTTTATCAGTAATATATTTATGTGATGTTTTAATACTTGTAGGAGCATGCAAATGTGGATGATATTGAAAAGGACATTACTCTTCCACTTTCTCCTTGTATTAGTTTTGCTGGTAACATATCATTTTTGCTACTAATTGTTTAATAAATTTATTGAATTTATTTATAGATTTAGATTTTGTTTTCTTAATGTTAGGAAATTCCACATTGCTATGCTTGTTTTTCTAAAAAAAAAAATTGAGAATTTTTGAATTTTTTTTGCCCATATAGGAACTTGCATATTCAAGTGTAATAGTTTTTACTTGGTTGTTGATCGGCATGTTATTATAGATAATCTTGCAAATCCTCTTTTGGCATTGGTTGTTCTTTTTGCTGCATATTATGTGTTAAATGTTGGCTATCCAGTAGAGATTGCTGCAACCCTTGAAATTTTGCAGAGGTAAGTCATAAGATAATGTTTATTGACATTTGTTTATATAAATCTTTTTCATTACCTAACCTGCATTGTATTCTCTAACTTTATCTACTTCTACCCTTCCCTTTTCTTCTAAGTCACTGCATCCTGATAATCTACTGTATGCTCTACATGTTCGCTTCACATACAATTTTTAAATATTTTTAAAATTACTTTCTTTTTCTTTTTTTTTACTGTAAATAATGATTTATTAATCTTATCTAATTATTATGTAGATGTATTGTAAAAATGAACCCTGAAAAAGGAAACAAAATCGAAAAGAAGATTGGTAAAAAACAGTATGTCGGACCTCACCCTAAAGTTATAAGTTTTGTTAACGAACTGGGGCTGTTTGAATGGACAGAGCAGCAATAGACGAAAATACGCTTTGTTTTTATTTATTATAACTAATAAAATATATTTTCATATATATTTGTTATGTCTGTATTATAAATTGTCATAATATAATATTATTTCTTATTATATAATATTGTTTCTTATTATATATATATATAAATATATATATATATATATATATATATACATATATATATATATATTTATATATATATTTTTATGTATATATATATATATATATATGTATATATACATATATATTTATATATATATATATATATATATATTTATATATATATATATATATATATTTATAAATATATATATATATATATATATATTTATAAATATATATATATATATATATATATATATATATATATATATATATTATATATATTATATGTTATATATATTATATGTTATATATATATATATATATATATATATATATATATATATATATATATATATATATATATATCTATATATATATATATATATATATATATATATATATATAGTAACTGTTACTATATTTTATTTTTTAACTCTAATAATTATTTTATCACCATATGAATAGTCCATCTGGAAAACGCGCTCCAAATAAATTGATTTTGAGAAAACAATAAATAGATATATACTTTTTTTATTTATGGGACAAAATTTAAATTAATAATAGATTTCAGTGTATAAATTGTGGAAATGGAATTAACTCAAAAAAATTATTTTGTTAGTTAGCGCGTTTGGCATATGGTCTATATGATTAAAATAAATTTTCTTTAAATATTTTTTGTGTGGCGAAATTACTCAAAACTACTGAGTTTTTGTTGTTGTTGTGTTTGATATGTATTATATTATAAATTTTAATTACTTCACGAGTCTTAATATTTGAATTACATTTTTATAACAACGTATAAATTCTATTCATTTATTTTTTACTTTCATGTAAACTCGTGAGTGAACTGTCTATTTGATGAATTAACGGAGTTTTTCCGTAAATTTATACGAAAAAATTAAAATACGGAAACCGTTAGTATTACGGAGAAAGTGCTGCCTGACTTTCTCCGTACGTTTGTACGGAAAAAATGAAATACGGAAACCGTAAATTTTACGGAGAAAGTCCTGTATCTTTTTTAACAGACTTTTTCCGTTGAATTTTACGCAAAAAAAAACTACGGAAACCGTTAATTGTTACGGAGAAAGTGCTGTCTTCTTGGCTGCCGGACATTTTCCGTTGAATCTACGGAGAATTTTTTAACAGTGCAGGATGTTCACGCCTCCTTCCTTACCGTGATGCTTAAATATTTTCAAAGCTCGTTTTGATCCTGGATCTCCTGCTTATAAAGCAAGCGCTCTAACCACTGCGCCACGGCCGCACTAAAAATTATTTATAAATCGACTTGAAACAGTTCCCATTTTATGTTTGAGCATAAACAAAATATTTTGATATATATTGATTTGATTGATGTTTAAAACATTCATCTGTTTTAGTTATGGGTTTGCTTGAGTAAGCTTCTTTTTATAAAATGTAATTTTAAAAGCGGGTTTCTGCCGTCTATAGATAGTATTCACCATGTGATGTTAAAATTCGCCATCACCATGTGATGTTAAAATTCGCGGCCGCCATACTGTATGACAATTAAAGTAAACAAAGCGAACGTTTATTATAACAACGCATTTAATTACAATTATTAAGAGAACATACTTTGAAGTAGATAGATTTTTGAAGATTCATTTTGAATAAAATTATGTAGAAAATAATTTAATCTCGCAACATAATTAATTTATTTTGCTTAAATAAAAATTCTGTTAAATAACTTGTTTTCGAACGCGTATTATATCATAATACACCTTTGAAAACAAGAACTTTGAATGCTTTGGTGTACTTTATATACAGTTTACTTATTCGAACCTTACTAATAATATATTATATATAATAATATATTATATATAAATTAATATAAGTAATGTGCGAATAAATAAACTGCATATAAAGTACTCCTGAGCATTCAAAAATAGACTTAATTATTTTTGTTTTACATTTTTAACATCTTTTAAGTATTATAACACACTAGATTATTTTATTTTTTTTAAATATTTTTGCTAACATTCATAACTCAGACACAGATTATTTAACATGCTTAAACAACACATTTTGGTTGTTTAAGCATGTAAAATAATTTTTTAAATAGTATTAATATTTTAAAATGCTATGAACATAAATAATATGCTGAATTATCTATCAGATTGCTTAGTATATTAAAAGTATAATAATAAAATAATAATTAATAACAAAAATAATTGTCAACAAGCAAAACCACAAACTTAGAAGAATGAATCTATTTAACACTGGTGCTAAAGATGTAAACAAGTTGCAGAGGATCTAAATGATTATAATTTTATTATAAACTTAAAATTGTTGAAAGTTTATGTGTATCTTTTTGCTGTCATGTCAAGATATCATAAAACAGACTTTTAATTGAAAAATTAACTCATCGCATGGGTGCTGTTCATAATTTAAACTTTAGATTTAAAAGCGTGCTTAAAAGCAGTGCTTTTTATTAACCGTTTTTTAGATCAAAATCTACTTTAAATAGAAGTATACATAGTAGACAAAAATGTTTGAAAGATCTGCATCAGCTTTAAGAGAAGTAGGAAGAAGACACAAATCAAATTTTTAAATTTTTAAATAAGTTGTAACATTTCAAAGACTGTTATAAATAAAACTTGTAAATACGTTATAGATCTTTAAGTATTGAAACTTTTTCATGCAAGCTGTTAAAATGTTTAGAAGATCTATTTCATTTCAATGATTAGTGTGCAATGAGTTTCTCAGAAGAGGTGACTCTTTGCATTTAAAGATGTTGTTAGTTGTGCGCCTTATGTACAATTTTATATATTACCACTGAAAGTAAAGTGTATTGGACATTTACTAGCAGTTTTTTCTAATTTCATTGAATTCAACAATTTATTTATACAACTGGAACTTAATAATGGATCTCAATAATGACTTAAGTTTTCAGTTATTTGGATTTTTAAGAAATCAATTTTCAAATACACGTATTACAAAAATATGCTCAAATTAATAAAAGAAAAATTATTCTTCACATTTTAATGGATAAATATCTAAGACCGGAACAATTTCTGCATGAGCTTCTAAAGAATGGTCACACTGGTTTAGAACTTTTGCAAACTTCATGAAAACTATACAAACAGAAGATAAATTTAATGTCCTCACTAACTATTTATCTTTTTCCGTGTTCGACTGTATTGCTGACATTGAATCATTTGATGGCGCTATAGAAATTCTCAAAAACTTATTTTTAAAACTTAAAAATAAATTATTTTCCAGACATCAGTTAGCTTCACGTAAACAATCATCCGGAGAATCTATTGATGAGTTTTTGCAGGCCTTACATACACTTAGTAAAGATAGCAACTTTAAACAGGTTTCTGCTTCAGAATATTGCGAAGAATACTTTCGCGATTTATTTATAAATGGTCTAAGCTCTCATCATATTCGCCGACGAGAAAACTCCATTCTTAAAGTTACTGAGGCCTATAATCAAGCTCGTTCATTGGAAAATGCTCAAAGAAGTAATGACATGTTTTCACATACAGAGTATAGCAATTTTGCTACAGTTAATAAGCATTGTGAATATTTTACTGAGCTCGTTTTAGTTTCTACTAAGCCTAGTGGACTTTGTTATTTCTGTGAAAATAAGCGTCTCCCTCAACAATCATGTCCTTGTTAGACGCAAAATGTAACAATTGTGGTAAAAAAGAACATTTCAAGAAAGTATGCAAATCATCAAAGAATATTGTCACGTCTGCTGCTGCTAACTTCCATGCACCATGTTTAGCCTCGATTACTTGCTCTTCTATCAATTCACTCAACTCAATTGTTTATATCTTTATTGCTTATATATTATGGAAGCTCTAACACATTTATAAGCAAATCATTATGTGACTCTTTAAAACTTAATGTAAGTCCTTCTAATAAAAGAGTCTCTATGGCTGATCCTTCTTTATCTTGTCAAGTTAAAGGTAAAGTTTCAACTAATTTCACATTTGGTATGAAGTACTCTAATATTAACTTTTCGGTTATACCCAGCTCTTGCAAACAAATCATACTTAGTACAGATTTCTTACAGTAGCACAAAAGTCTTTATATCAATTATGGTGGTAAAAAAGATTCTTTAAAAATATGCTCTCTAAATAATATTACAACAAAAGCTAGCACTCTTTTCCCTTTTCTATCTCCAAAATGTAGACCGATTGCTTCATCTGCTAGACGATGTAACTCAGAGGACAAAACATTCATTGAGCAAGAAGCTAAACATTTTTTTGAACTAGATATAACAGAACCCAGTAACTCTCTTTAGAAAGCGCAAATAGTTGTTACCAGGAATGAGAGACATAGGAAACACATGGTCATTGATTACTCACAAACAATAAATCGCTTTACACCACTTGATGCTTATCCTTTACCAAACATCAATAAATTGGTTAACTCTGTTTCAAAATATTTATTATTTAGCTCATTTGATTTAAAAAGTGCTTATCACCAAATACCTCTCCTAGAAAGTGACAAGCATTATACTGCCTTAAATTCCATCGGACATCTTTTCAAATTTAAAGAAAATCCTTTTGGCGTCACTAATGCTGTTGCACAATTTCAAAGAATCATGGATAAGTTTATTTATGAAAATAAGTTATAAGACACCTTTGTGTATCTAGATAACTTGCTTGTATGTGGTACATCTAAAACTAAACAGGATTTTAATTTAGAAAAACTTCTTGAAGCTTCTAAAAAAGCAATGTTTAAGTTCAATGTAAAGTCTATATTTTAAGTTCAAAGTAAAGTCTATATTTTCTACTTCATGTATAACCTTCCTAGGTTTTATAATAAAAAATGGCTCTTTTTCCCCTGATCCAGATTGCTTAAAGCGAATAATTGAAATTTCTGTTCCCAAATTTTTTCATTTCTTTAAGCAGTACAAGCCATAAATAATATTACAACAGTTTCATATGCTATTAGAAGTGTTTGTTTGGTGGCAGGAGATCAATATACAGCATACTTGTAGTATACATAAAAGTTTTTGAAATGTTACAACTTATTTTACAAATCTTTTGATTTGTTTTGTATCTTTTACTTCTTACATTTCTTAAAACCAATCAAGACCTTTATATCAAACTTTCTTTAAACGCGTATGCTTTTTTTGCATGGTTTAAAGTAAAACACAGCTACTTTTTAACACACAGCTTTTAACTTTTTAGTTTAATTTATGACCATTACCCATGCAAGGAGTTAAGTTGTAAATAAAAAGTCTGTGTTTTATGAAAAAAATTCTGGAATTTTAGCTTTAGAAGTTTTTAGTATTTTAGTTCTTAGTAAAATCGTAGTCATTTGGATCTTCTTCAACTTTTTTATACGTGTGTTGATTGCCTCTAAAATCACACTTTCTTCTAAGTTTGTGCTTTTGTTTGTTTTGTATTATTGTTCAAATTATTTACAATTTACTTAGTTATTAAGGTTAGTTACCTTGTTTGATCAAACAAGGTAATGAACCTTAGCAACTTTAGCCTTGCGTTAAACTTGGGCGCATTTGTTTGACCTACAAGATGGCGTAGGGGTAACAATGTTTACATCGCGACGTCAATAGAACACTATCAATAAAGAGAGCTAAATTTAATTTAATGGGTACTTGTTCATGCTATATTTGCGTATTTAAAATTTTAGAACGATAGTTATGGTCTTGTTTTATAGAGTAGTCTAACGTTTTTTGAGATTTTTTTATTAATGGCATTTAAATGATAGTTCTCTTATAGATTCTTGTCAAGAAGCAAACCAAGAAATTTAGATGAATGAGTTTGTTCAATAGTTGCTTTGTATATTCTAAAAGTTGGTAAAATTTATGCGAAAGTTCTTTTTTGTTTCGGTTGTAGTGAAATAAGATGTATTTAGTTTTGTTTAAGTTTAACTTAAAAATTTGTTTAATTTTAACTTAAAAGCTCTGAACTATGTGTTAAGATTAATAAATTCTATTTTCGCGGTTATAAAAAGATCACGAATTGAGCTAGAAGAATAAAACAGATTGATGCCGTCTGCAAAAATTATGCAATCTAACTTTGATGAAATTTCTGAATGGTTGTTGACATAAGTTCAAAATAGAAGAGGATTCAAAATAGATCTTTGAAGGATCCAACAATTAATTTTTAGCTGTTTCGAGTTATTATAGTGATCTATAGTAGCACATTAATATCTATTGTCTAAATAGTTAGTAAACCATTTTATAGTTTTTATTTTGATGTCATATTTTTTCTTTTTTTTTCAGTAGTATTGCGTGGTCTTCTGTGTTAAACGCCGTTGTCAGATCAAAAAAGGCTCTTAATACAAGTTTCTCAACATTAAAGAAAGCGCTAATATTATTAATGAGATCTAGGGTAGGATGTTCCGTTAAATGTTGCGTTTGAAATCCGTATCGATTTTTACATAAGATTCTGTTTCTGCTAAATACTTATATTGTCTGTTGTAAATTATTCTTTTAAGGAGTTTAGAAAATGTAGTGAAAATTAATGTTGATCTATAACTACTTATAGCAGATCTCCACATTTAAATATAGATACAGTTTTTTCTATTTTTAATTTGTCTGGGACATCCCGTTTTTAATTGAAGAGCAGAAGATGTTTAAAATAGGCCTTTTGTTGCAGAAAAGTACAGAAAATGTACAATATTTCCAGAGATTTTGTCAATACCTGGAGTCTCATTCTTTTTGATTGATTTGGTTGCTGTTTCAAGTACATTTAAAAAAATATTTTTGATATGATTTTTCTGAGCCTTTTATTTTTGATGCCAGGTTTAGACCAATGTTCACAAAGACATGATTGCATAGTTTTTAATATATCTTGTTTGTCTTTGTACTCAGTATCGTTTTTCATTATTCTAGGGGGTAAAATATCAGTAATTATTTTATTTTAATAAATAATTTCTTTTAAAACTTTCCGCGTTTTCCTTATTTTACCGTTACTACTTTTTTTAAATTTACTTTTAATTTTTTTAAGATAGATTTTTATATTTTTTATAAACATAAGGATAAGTTTCTTTTCTGTTTTTTAAATATTTGATGCATTTTTTTATTTGGTACTCGGAAAAGTTTCTAGTTTGGTATGTAGTCCACGGACATTTGGTGGTGATGGTTAACAACGCCTAATGTTCATTTATATTTTGCTTCAAGATTTTGATTTTAGAATTGGCACGTATGGTTGCATGTTTAGCAAAAGAAAAGAAAATTAGAAAGTGATGCGAAATGATGAGCAGCCGTAGCGCACTTGTTAGGGCGTTTGCCTCAGAACTTAGAAAACCCTGGTTTTAACGCCACCTCTGGCTAAGTTTTATAACATCGATAAGAAGAAGGCGTGAACTTCCTTTTAAATGCTATTTTGCGGTGCTGTGTGATAAAACCGTTATGACTTCTTGGGGCACCTAAAATAATAATAATAAAACAACAGTTTTTATTAGTCCTGTTTTTATGGACTTATCAAGAAAGGAGTTTGTTAGAACATTATCTGTAGCACTAATGGAAGATGATGTAACACGAGTTGGTTTGTTAGTGATTAAGAAAATACCGTGTTAAAACATATTGTCAAAAAAGATTTTAGTATTAGGGTGTTCATTGTATTTTAAACTAACTGTGTTAATGTCACCGATAGGGAATAATGTTTTTGTAAACTATTGCATTTGATATAAATTTGTTGGAAATAATTTGATAATGAAATATGATTTCTGTCAGGTAGTCTGTAACAAGTAGAAACTACATTGTTTTTTGTATTTTCAATTATTATCTCTATTGTTAGGATCCCACTGTCTAAATTAGAGATGGAGAGTATATTTTCAGAATCTCGGGTTTTTTTGTTTTGTTTTTTGTCTCGGTTCTCGGTCCATACGAGACAATATTTTTCCGAGAGAGATCTCGTACGAAACCGATAAAAAACCGAGATTTTTTCAAAAATGTAAGAACTCTGAAAATAAACAGATATTTTCCCAAAATATTGTGTTTTATAATTTTTTATAATTATTTTAATGAAACATAAGTTTTATAAACTACATTTATTAAGTTAATGTTGACTTTTAAAAAAATTATTCAAAAGACGTAAGTCATTCAAAGTTGCAGCTGTCATTCTATTCCGTTTCTCACTACGGTGGTTGCTTGAAATTGAAAAAACTTGTTCGCATCAAATCGATTTTGGCTTGATTAATTTCAACGCATTTTCTAACATGCATTACTTTTCTGACTTGAATCCAGTCGTACCGTAGCTGTTAAATTCATCAGCAGTCAAATCATTAAGACCAGTGACTTGTATATGTTGTTTGGCATTAGATTCTCTTTTATTTCTAGGTGGATCATTGAGCTTTGTAACAAATTTTGTAGTTGTTCGACGTTTTAAGGAAGCAAAAAGACGTAACTTAGAATTATTGGGAGTCTGTTTGACTGTCTGATGAGCTTTAGATGCAGTTTCCACAACATCATCACTGTCACCGTTACTGGATGGATTAAAAAAATGTTTAAGCCAGAGTCTTTTTGCTACTTCAATAATTTCTTAATTTGATGAGAGTAAGATTGGGGACACTTTCGGCTCTTCAAGACATCCTGGATTGTTGAGAATTTTGAGCAGACTAACAGTTAAGATCGGACATCTTTGAAGAATCTCTATTTCAATTTCTTCAATTAAGTTCTGATGCGCCTTTTGCAAT